CTATGCAACAGCGCAGGGGCGGCGCGGGGCGACCTCACGGCCTCTCCCGTTTCAAAGCGCTCGTCCGGGCGCCCGCCCTCCGCCCGGCCCTTTGGCCAGGGGAGCTGTGGGAACGGCCGAGCGCAGTGGTCAAAACGCTGTAGATACGCGAGAGCGTAGGCTTCCGCGGCCGGAGTCAGTATTCACTTGGGTGTCCGGGTGACGTCGCGTCCATGGCGTATGTGCCGAGGGTTCGGTCGCCGTTCTGCGACCTTCCTCAGGGTAATGCTAACATTACACTCTGAGGAACAAGCATTACGCCCTGAGGAAGGTCGCAGAATGGCGAACGAAACATCGGCACCTTCGCCATGTACGTGGCGTAACCCGGACAGCCAAGTAAATACGCTGTAGATACGTTGACTTATATTACGTGTGGAACGATCAGAGTTCTATTTCGAGATCAAAGCATAGATTTTAGATATTTATTCTATATTTGTTAATAATTATATTTTCTCTTTGATTAGGCAGAGAAATCAACGAGTTCTTGTCTATACTTTGTGAAAATTCACAAGACACATTCTCAAGACATTTCTGCAGAATTTTGTATACTTTTCTTAGACATTACAGATTTTTATTACATAGAAATCCTATGCCATTTAAGTTTGTATTTAATTATATTGTAAGCACTAGACAAAGCACATTATAGGTTTAAAGTTAGAAAGAGTTACAAACAAATGTCTTCTTCTCGCTATTAATATTTTGTATTGCAAAACTACGGTATTTGTTTCAGAAAAAACGTGTCATCTCAGCTCAGAACACTGCAAAGAAACCGAGCTAAACATACTGCACGGCCCACGACACACTCTAGTCCGATTAGGATGCGACTAGAATGTTCATCCCAAGTGTCCTTGTATGGGCTCATTCGCTTGAGAACGCGTCTCTTCCCGTCGAACTTCCGGAGGTGTACTAGCAAATCGAAAAGCATTTGAGATAAATGTAAGTAGAATTTAATTAGGAAATGCTATTTCATATACATTAAATATTGTCTTAAAGATACAGCGTCTTTTATGTTTTGCTCTTCTGTGATATTCATAATGCATCACATACACCATTTAGAAATTGAATTGTTCAATTCTCAAAATTCAATTACCTGCAAATGTCATTGTCGTAAAAGTAATGTTCGTGCACGTGAGAGGCAGACGTAGAATGTACGAGACAAATATCGAACAAGAAGCGGACGTTTCTCTTTCATGTAGACATGAAAGCTATATCTCTGTTCATCCGTGTTTATTAGCACCCGTAATGTGCGTTCCGTGTCCGCTCATTGTTCGTTGCCTGTTCTACATGAGTGTACACGAGTCGAGACTTCCGGTCTATTCGGTCCCCTCCAAGGTTGAACTGTAAAGCTTATTGCTGTTTCACATCGCCTGCACAATAACCGACGTCCTGACTCAGCATTCTTCTTTTGTTTTACGCCTGAGACTCACGTAACAGCAACGACTCGTGTCGCTTTAGTCCTTCTGGGACGCGTCTTGTCTGTGACAAAATTACTGGTAGACTCCTAAATTCTGTCAATTTCTTTTCGAATATTTGGATAAAGGGAGTGTCGTTACAGTGAACATTGGTATGTGGCTAAGTGTAATTGTATTAAGAAATTTCAGGTGTTGGAATCCCCCACTGCTAAGAATCCGTATTTTACTCGTAACTTATGTGTGATCCCGACGAAAAGAAAATACCGACGCTAACAGTACGGTTCATTTATCGATTTGAGCTCAATATCCTTCGGTTCTACAACTTATTCAGGCAGCAGCCACTCCGCACAAAAACTGTGACGCAACCACTACGCATATTCCAAAGATACCCCCCAAGATAATTCTATATTCCTTACTTCTTTGGATAAAGTTACAGAATTGAAGAGCTCAGTAGAACAAGGGGCTATTGCACATTGATCTAATTCTGAGATATTGAGTTTCACTAGAACATTCATAATATTTAAGACTTTTAAACACAGTGCACCTGCATTCAAGTCCATACTGGATTTAAATCACACATTACATTAAAATAATCCATATTTAGATTTATTTATAGTGCCACTTGACATTTGAATCAGCAGTTACGGTGTCATCCAATTTGAAGCTTGAACGTCACAACAGTGATGTCACCACAGTGACGTTCAAGCTCCTAATTGGATGACACCGTAACAGCCGACTTACGTCAAGTGCCACAACAAATAAATCGATAATATTTGAAGTTATATTTAAAGGTAATAACTCAGTTTTACAAAAAAATGTGGGACAGCCCCTTGTACTACAGAGTCGTGCAATTGATATGGTTGAGAGGTTTGGAGGTTTTTCCTAGGAAACGAGGGATGTTCTTTTGGTTACGGCGTCCTCACGTAACGACGGCCGCGTGTGTATTCCGCCTCTTCCTCTTCCACGTGTCCGTGTTTCGGGGGGAACGTGACGGGAAGTGGCGAGCAGCGTCGCGGGCGTC